AGAGAAAGTTCTGGGAAAAAGTTTTGGAAAGGTTTTTTAAAAGGAAGAAAAAAATTTTACGGAAATTGGGCCCCCCCCCCCCCCCCCCCCTCGATTTTCGATTTTTTTGTTTCACCGCAACAACCACAAAACAGGTCCGGACCCTGACCGCTTCCCCGATCGAGCGAAGGTTTAGCGTGTGGATCGGCGGGTCCATCTTGTGCTCCCTCGGCACCTTCCAGCAGCTCTGGCTGTCCAAGCGACAGTACGAGGAGCAAGGGGCTGATGTCGCCGAGTCTCGCCGATTTCAGGGATAAATCAGCAACGGGGCTCGCGTACCTATAGGCTAGGTGGGGGGGTATGTAGGTACATTGGGGTTTCGCATCACAAGGTTCTTAGGGCTAAGTTGGGGGTTTCGAGTGTAGTTTGCATGCTCCTTTGGGCACAAACACGTGGTGCGTGGGGAGACAGGGGTACGGCGAAAGAGACAGGCGCTCCAACCCTGCTAGGGTATTATTAACATAGTTTTTTTTGTTGGCGGCAGCAGGAGAGGGTCGCTGGCTCCGAGTTGTAGAGAGTGTTGTTGTGTCCTTGATGTTGCATAAAAATCTGCCCGCTTGTGGGATATAAGAATACAAGAATAGCCTCTCTCTTGTTCTAAGGGCTAAGGCTTTGTTCTCCAAAGACGGGCGGAATCGAAGGGCACCTATCAGCTAGCACCTAAACTCTCTCCCTTTTCCCCCATCTCCGGTGCGGTCGTCGGATAGACAAGTGAACGGCAAGAAAAGTATTTCATAGGTGCATTTTTGAGGAAAGAAAGGAGCACTCGCATGAGCCCTTGTCGCACCCAAGCATGACAGCACGCACCACGACATTCACACTGGGAACCATTCTGTGTGACACACCAAGTCGGAAGCGTTCAAGCAGAAGAGAACCGCGTCAAGTCCAAGGATTTTTTTTTTTTTTTCTTCACTTCAAATCAGCGCTCACAGCACTAGTGCCGTTTACTCCAACCCGTGGTCACACAGAAGAGCCTCTCTCTACCCTCCCCTCCTGCGGCACTTTGCCTTCGATTTTTAAATCGAGAAAAGTTCAGCACTCTCTTCCCTCTGTGTACACACGAACTAGCGCTATCCACTAGGCCAGAAGCAGAAGCGAGAGAAATAATCACTTTGCAAGAAAAACTCGCTTACGCCGGGATTCGAACCCCTGACCTGACCTCTGGAAGCTTTCGAGGATACCAACCAGACCACCGGGGCGACCGAGGATAGGTAGGCATAAAATCGCGAGTAGCACAGGCGACATGATCACGCACCGGATGACGACGCAACAAAAAAAAAATGACACCACTCGTCCGTTGTTGGCACCGGGGAAACTAGATACGGGGGCAACTTTATTTGGCGTTCGGGGCGATCATCCCCAGAAGGCACTCTGTTTTCCGGACAAAACAACACGCGGAACGGTGCTCAAGACTATTTACCTTGAAATATTTGGAGGCTCTTGATACGGTGTTTCCGAAGCCACCAGTATTTTGTAAAATCCTTACGGCTAGGAGGACATCGGCGATATAGAGGCTAAGTTACTTCGTCCCGTTACTGCCTCGCACGTAATTTTTTTTTTTTCTCGTCCACAATTGGCTCGTGGCATCTGTGCGATGTTCATCACAAGAAGAGTCGACGGGTTTTGATGGGTACGGAAACTATGCTTGGGCGATGTACATAACAGTTCGAAACTACAACAACAACACACTCCACAAAATAACACACAATTTGCGGAACACCATGGCCTTTAGAAGCATGTGTTTTCAACGGCACTGAGACCGACACCTTACTGCTGGTCCGCCGGTTAGCGCGGCCGATGCAAAACAAAAACACATACACACACACCTCCATTCCTCACCCTCCCCGTCGGGAGACTCCGTTGACTAGAAAACACGTTCGTTCTTGTCATCCCGCTGTACGACGGGCGCAAGTAAGTATTGGTCAGCCGTTTTACGCAGCGCAGACGGTGCCAAACAAGGACAAACATACACACCGAGAGAGAAGAAAACCTAAACAACGAAATATTAAACAATCCCCCAAGTCAAAGCGCAACGCCTACTTTTTTTTCTAAGGTATCCGGTTTTCATCCTGAGTGTGAGGAGCCGACCATTCGTTTGTCCGTCCGTTTAATCTACTCCAACTTTAACAGTACGGCTCGTAGTCTCCCCCCTGCTTCTCCCAGCACTCGTCGCAGAAATCTTCGAAGCACGGATCCGCCGCGTAGCAGGAGATCTGATTGGCGCAATCGATGCATCCGTTACCGTTCCTGCGCGCGCGGGAAGTTGGCGAGCACTGATTCACATTCATTTCGCGGCACTATTTTCGGCAACGTTGTCACCCCGCCTGGCGGCCTGAACTTAGTGCCGAAAGTTGCAAAGTCCAGAAAAGATGGGTTGTTGTTGTTGTTGTTGTTGTTTTTGTCTTCACATTAAAAACCGTTCCGGTCTCCGCTCAGTACCTTCTAATGTCCGTACTATACTATACTATACTATACTATACTATACTATACTAGTATATAGTATAATAGTACAACTGACGCGGACGCCTTCCGTGGTCACAAGACAACTAACTGCCCCACCAAGGGGGGGTACACCTTTCAAAAAAAAAAAAAATGAACGACTAAGAAAACATCTGCGGGCCGAAACGACCGTGGAACACGATCGTTTGACTGGGTGTACATCAATTCCGTCTATTCCTACTAAATATTAATATAATAGCTGGGAAGTGCAAGGCCCGGTTGGGATGTTGCAGCCTGTTTAGCCTAGGGTTAGTCGACACACGAGCTTGACAAGCAGGTGCCACCGATAAAAATAACAGTAACAGTAAGCGGTTGTCGCGCAGCAGTCTGATTGCGCTGACCTCGCGTCCTCGCACAGGTCGCGGCGGTGAGAGTTGGGCGGCTCGCACTCCTCGTGGAACCCGCCCCCGCAGCCGTCGCAGTTCCAGTCTATCGGGTTATCACAATCAGAGAAGGTGGAGGCATTTGCTTTTCCACAGGCCTTGCAAATGTCCTCGTCTTTCTCCCCCTCCCTAGCGGTGGCGGTCTTTCGGCCGTCGCCTTCTCCTGTATCGTTCCGCATGCACGCACACAGCAGTAGCAGCAGCAGTAGCAGCAGAAACAAAGGTTCTCTCTCTTCCCAGTCACTGCAAAGACTCCTCCAACACACCCCCTTCGACGTCAATAGCATTATCTCGAAGGGGTGGTCTCTCTTTGATTGTATCTAAGTACTTCTAGCATACCTGTACTCGGTATATTTCGATGAAAAAAACGAAGAGGAAGTTGCTAGCACCACACTGAATCCGGAGGCTGGACCCTTGGGAGTCTAGTATCCTCCGCGTGCCCCCCCCCTGTCGGGGGGGTCCTGTGGACCTTTGTGTGTGGTTCTTTGTTGGCTAAGCGTGGCGTCGTTCATTTTTCTTTCTCGCTTTCAATCATTGGTCGGCTGAGAAGCGCGGTTGACACAAAATAAAGGAGTACAGCAGTGGTCCCTGCGCAAGACCGGTGAAATCGCGTGATTATCCAATTGGAACATAATACCCAAGTTGTCTCCAACTACTGTTGTTAATAGATGCCTCCCGGGTACCCGGTACAAGCCGAGCCTATACTCCCCTGGCATTCATCTATCCGGCCATATGCAGGGACCACTGTTGCTGCTGTAGAGTAGTGAGACACCGACGGGTGGGTGTGTTGCCGTGGTAGGTGAACGAACGCACCGGATCAGCCGATTTTGTTGGGGGTGGTGTGGTTCCAAGAAGAGAAAGACAAACAGACGAAAAATACATGCTCTCCTTCCCGCCGACGGCCGCCGACAGAGTCTGCACGAGGGGGGGGAGGTCGCTGTCATCCCCATTTGTTGAACCCGTGTTTGCGAGCCCGCACCGAAGAAGGCACGCCCGGGGGCTTTCGCTTTCGCCAGGCATTTATGTCGACACATTAACAGACGTCGCGCCCCCCCCCCCCTCCGCCGATGAACACATCGATCGCCGTTTCGTCACGACGGCATGCATGCCATAACCTCGAAGCCCGCGAGCGCCCCAAACAAAAGTAGTGGACTGCCGTAATAAGATTACCGTGCACCACATACAAGATTAAGATTGTCTCTCTTTCCACCATACTCCACCCACGACACTGCAAAAATTGCGGGAAAAATGTGTCGCACACGTCATCACCCGATCCCTATGGACCGTAGCCTAGGCCGGTCGAAATAACCCAGCACACCGCTCCGTCCCGGCAACATCGAGGCCTACCGCCTACGGCATGCGTTGACATCAGTACATCCCCCCTCCTCGCATACCTTCCGTCTTGTCGGAGCCCCCGGCTGCCGTCGACGCCCCTGCAGAACTCTCTCCAGCACCTGCAGCCTTGGTGGCTGCTCTTCCTTTTGGGGGCGAGGGACCGTCGGATCCGAAGTACATCTCGTCGCAGTACTCTGGGAACATCATCTCCATCCGCTGCGCCTTGGTCATTGGCCTGCCCCAACCCCAGCTCCCCCCGGCTGCCTTCTTTTTCGCCGCCGGCTTCTTTTTGGCGACGGCCGGCTTCTTCTTGGCGGCAGCAGCAGCAGCAGGTTTTTTCTTCGCAGTAGTAGCAGCTGCCGGTGATTTCTTCGCAGCCCGCGATTTCTTCGCAGCCGGTGATTTCTTCGCAGCCGGCGATTTCTTCGCAGCCGGCGATTTCTTCGCAGCCGGCGATTTCTTCGCAGCCGGTGATTTCTTCGCAGCCGGCGATTTCTTCGCAGCCGGAGGTTTCTTTGCTGCCGGCGGCTTCTTTGCAGCCGGAGACTTCTTTGCTGCCGCCGGCTTGGAATCGCCGACAAACACCCACCTTCCGCGAGCCTTCACCATTGTCTCTCTTGGTTGGGTTGGGGTTAGGAGCTGCATTGATTGGCCGAGGGGGCACGGAGCGTTA